CGCTGCCCCAGAGTTCAGCGCCTTGGCACACTGAATATTTTAAGTGAAGGGATTTGAGAAACGGCAGGTTCAGGAAGCAGTTTCTGACCCTCATAACACTGTCGCGTGGGAGGGGACCCCTCCCACAGCTGGAGGAAAGGAGCCTCTTGTTTCCTCGATGAGTGAGGAGGGGAGGGAAGGGTACAGACAGGCATCATGGAGCCCCCTCCCCCTCCCCTCGCCGCTAATCCATGGAGCTTGTCATGCTGTTTCTGGTTTTAGCATGTTTCCCTAAAAACATGCAGGTGTAACCACCTCTTCAGGTTTCTGTTTCCTTACAAGGCTCCCGCATCCCAGACAACTTACATTAAATAAATCTGTGTGCTTTTCTCTTGTTCATCTGGCTTTTGTTGCATGGCCCCCAGCTGAGAATGCAGACAAGTATGTTAAGAAACAAAATTCAACTGTATACATTTTAAAGATCTCACTGGCTTTGTTCAATGACTTATGAATTAGATGGCATTGCCCCTGGCAGGAGCTCTGAGGAGCTGTACAGAGGGCAAGACTTTCACAGGCAGAAAGGGCAGGAATAGGAAGTCACACTGGGCTGAAAAGTGGGGTGGTAGTTGAGAGGTCACTTCCCCCACCAGGCCAGTGTGACCTCACTGGTATCAACCAGGCAACTCCTGATTCCCTGGTTTAAGATCCTATTTTAGGAAGAGTCTAAAACGGTAATTAAGTGGTTTGGTGAAGTGGAGCTCAACATCAGCGACTCCATTTTGAGATTGTCATCTTGTTTTTTAACAAATATACAGCAAAAGAAAAGATGCTTTTTCCTCCTTCACATAATCAAGAATTTAAGTGTTTAACATTGGTATGCATTAAAGATTTCTCCTCAAATCATGTATCATACCGACTTCTCTAATTCATCCCATTGGGATTCTGATAATTACTTGGCTTTGTATTTACAGAATGGCTGAAAATTTCAATGGCTGCAAAATATGAGAAAGGTAGAAATAGCAACAGAGATCATTAGAAATTGTAGTGTTACTGTTACTGACCCAGGTGTTTGAACTCTTTATTTTTCTTTTTTTAAATAGATTCTGCTCCTTTTAAAAATATATATATTTACTTATTTATTTTTGGCTGTGCTGGGCCTTTGTTGCTGGTGAGCTGTCTCCAGTTTTGTGAGTAGGGGCTGCCTTCACTGTGGTGCACAGGCTTCTCATTGCGGTGGCTTCTCTCGTGAGGCAGAGGTTCTAGGAGCTAGGCCCCTGCAGTCGCCGCACAGTCATTGGTGCACAGGCTTAGTTGCCCCATGGCATGTGGGTCTTCCCGGACAAGGGACTGAACCAACATCCCCTGCATTGGCAGGCGAATTCTTAATCACTGGACGACCAGGGAAGCCCCTTGGACTCTATTTTAATCAATAGGTTAATTCTCTGAAGTCCTACTAAGTCACCCAAGGCGGGAGTTCCAGGCCACATGGGCTGTGCTAGCATTTCAAGCCTCACGTGCTGGATTTGAGCCCAGCAGAAACGCACAGGAGAGGCTGGACAGACAAAACTGCATGAAACACAGATCCCTTTAAATCCACTGATCAAGCCTTAACATGTAGCAGCAACAGACACTGTCTATTACAGACAAGAAACAGAGGGATGAGGTCACCGCGTGTTGTCCCTGGAGGACTCTGTCCAGCCCTGCTCCTCTCTTAGATGCCTCTCCTGCCAGCGGGAGCTGGGGGGTCGTGAAAACGTGACCCCACAGGGAGTGTCCAGAGTGAGAGGGACGGCACTGTGGGTGTGAGGACCAAGGGAGGGGAGGAGGGAGAGGGAACAGAAAAGACTGAGAGAGAGAGGCTGCTGTTTCAACCTGGGCCGTGGGCGTCGATTCAAGCGCCAGTCCCTTTGCTTCCAGAAAGGGCCAAGCACCCTGTCCACTGCCCCCCGGGGTGATGGAGCCTGGACACCAGCCAGTAACATGTTTCTCCTGCCTGTCTGCCTCTCGTCAGGTGACCGCTGCTGGCTAGAGGGAGCAGGTGTCACAGCTGAGAGGGGAGAAGCTGTAGCTGCCCGACATCTACCCCCTTGGAAGGAGAGGACAGGAGGAGGAGACGAGAGAGGTCAGGAGAGGGCCGGGACAAAGCGGAGAGAAGCTGTGCCTGAGCACAGGTGCCGAGGTCCCGGGGTGAGGAAGCAGACTTACAGAACGGGGAGACGCTGAAGCAAGGGGTCCTGGCCACTCAGGGAAGCTTGTTCGGTGGTCCCGGAGGTGTCTGCATCCTCTCCCAGGGAAGGGGCAAAGGCCCCACAGACGGCCCACCAGGGTGGTCACCAACTATAGCACTGACCCGAGTCCTTGGACTCTTTGATCAACAGAAATCAACGAGGCCAGACGAGAAATTCAGGTGAGGCTTATTGGAGCTCCTGCCGCATGCGCAGCGGGAACAAGCAACAGGTGGCCTTGCGGCTCCTAAGGTGCGGGCTGGGCCCTTAACTAGGGCAGGTGGGGCCGGGGGTGGCTTGGGTGGTCTGCCTGCCCGCTGGGTGGGGCTGTTCGCAGAGATATCTCACGCAGCACCCAGCTTTAGCTCCCGCACCTCAGCCATAGTGGTTGGTTTGTGGCCGTCTGCAGCTCATTTTCATGATTGCCCCCACATGTGTGCCCTCGCATTTTTCCAGGTACAAGCGCTCCGGTAAATAGTCCAGGGTCCCAGCCTGTCCCATTACTATAAAATAGCAACAAAAGGGGAAAATCTGGAGGGTGAATAAATGTAAGACTGAATTTTTCCCTGGTTATCAAAAGGAAGAGCTCTTTTTGCCCCCTTTCTTAAGACTTTTCCTAGGGAAAATTCATATTTGTAAATTCTTCCTCTGTCCTTTTGATAGGTATGCAAATGTTTTTAAAAGCTAAATAAGCTTTTTGCTTGCATGCTCGGTTGCTTCAGTTGTGTCTGACTCTTTGTGACCCCACGGACTGTAGCCCACGAGGCTCCTCTGTCCATGGGATTCTCCAGACAAGAATAGCCATTTCCTCCTCCAAGGGATCTTCCCCACCCAGGGATCGAACCTGCACCTCTTGTGTCTCGACTGCGTTGGCAGGTGGATTCTTTACCACTCAGCCACCTGGGAAGCCCAAAATAAACTTTTGACCAGAATTAAAACTCAGAGACTTTTCTTCCCAGAAAGACCACCTCTTTTCAATGTCAACATAAAAGGACTGCTGTAATAAAATCCACAGAAGGGGCAGCATTTATTCCTCACGCTTGAGGGGGTTGAAAGTCCAAGATCCTGGGGACAGAGGACACGCTGTTGCAGCTGGGGAGGGCCCACTTCCTGGAGCATAGCCAGCTGGGCCCTCACACGTGGAAGAGGCTGGGGACCCTGCCGGGTCTGTTCATCTCTGACAAGGACACTAACCCATACACGAGGGCTGCACCCTCAAGACCTAATCCCTCCCAAAGGCCTCACCCGCTGATACCACACACTGGCACGAGGGTTTCAGAGCAGGACCTGGGGGGTGGGAGGAGGAGGCCCAAGGACGCAGCTTCCCTCGCTCTGTGGCCAGCTTCAGCACCAGGAGGCTCCAGAAGCAGGCACCGCAGGCTAAGTCCCCAGCCAGATCTCTAACCTGACGCTTGTCACCCAAGGAACGTGGAATCGGTTACCTTCACCAGAGACAAAGGTTAGAACCAGCCAGGCTGCGAGGTCTTGACACAGTCCCTGGGCTCTTGTGAACTACAGAACCAGTGTTGGAAGCACCAGGCTTGGAGCCCAGAGGCCTGATCTCAGGATCTGGGTGGGGGGAGGAGGTGATGTGGGCTTACCTGAGCAAGGAATCTGGCATCAGAGATCGTGCGTTCGAGGTCCCGCTCCTCTCTGACTAGTTTTCTCAATGGAGACGTGTCGTTTCTCTAAACTTCTGATAAAAGCGGGTCCTTGATGTCCTCAATGCCCCGGGTGGGTCCCAGGCTCTGGGGAGATGCTTTAAGAGCTGTAAGACACAAGGCAAATGTGGCTCAGTGTGATCCATCTGGCCTTTATAGAGTGCTCGCCTGGCCCGCCCACTGGGCAGGCTCCCTTCTGTCCAGAGAGCAGCGGAGCGGTGCACTGCAGTTCCTTGCAGCCCTAGGGGTGGGGGCTTCCAGCTAGACCACCCCCTCCCTTCCTGACTCCTCAGAGACTCCCCCACATCCTGCGCCTGCCAGACCCAAAGCCTGCGAGGCTATGTAGCCTGTGTGTCCACTGGACGACAAGAGAACAACCCAGGGAGATGCTTCCGGAAACCGTCCTCAACAAACACACATGGTTTGGGCCCTGCCTTCACCTCTGACCCCAACCCCAGAAGTTCCAGAGTCACCCCAGCCCTCCATCTCCCCAACCCGTCCCTGGCCAGCCATTGGGATTTCTCTGACTTGTGCTGTGGAGCTGGGTCCCAGACCACGCCCTTCTGCCTGTCTCCCAACTTTGCTTCCCAGAGCTGGTCCGACACCTATATTTAAGCACAGCTGACCCTAAAGGAATCTCCCAGTTCGGCAGGGGGACACCAGCTGGGGGTCAGGAGTTTGGAGGCTCTCCTGCCATCAGCCACCAGGGCAGCGTCAGCTGAGATATCCCCTCTGTGGGTTTGCATCTGCAAAGGACAGGGTTCCAACGCAGACTCAGTTGCTGTCCTGCTGAGTGGGGGCTGGGCAGGACCAGGGCAGCAGATGCTCGCCAGGTGCTGGCCTGCAGAGAGGTCCTGGCTCCTCCTGCCTCTGGCTTCAGCAGTCACTCCCCATCCACCTCCACCCTCGGATGGAAACCAAATGACAACCTTCTCCAGGGCCAGCGAGGTGGGAGAGACCATGGGAGCAGGACCCACTCTTAGCGGGCAGACAAGCCCTTGGCCCCCAGGTCTCTGGATTTTGGCCCTCTTCCCATCTGCAGATCCCCGTCACGGAGCGCCTGGGCTCACTGCCCAGTCCCCAAAGTCCCGTGGAGGCTGAGCTCTGGAGCTGCTTCAATGATTTACTGGGACGCTGACACTCAAGCACACACGTTTTATTTTTCGTAGGATGCACCCATTAATCCTTCGCGGTTTAATAGCCTAGAAGGCTCTTCGTGGGGCTCTCCCATCCTCCTCGGGCTTGCCATGGGGCTGCATTCAGGTCTCCTGCCAACGGGCCCAAGGGGTGTCCCCCGGCTTCAGGGGGCGGTGTGGTCCATGGACCTGTTCCTCCAGGACTTTCCTAGAATCTGAGATGAGGGCTGTCGGTATAATTCAGCAACTACTGGTGTTTTTCTTTGGCTCTGACCCATTGCTGGGATGGCATTCCACAGAGAACATGGACACTGACAGGGCTGGACATCGGGCACGACCATGAGGGACACATAAGGGGCCCGGCTCTCAGGGCACGTGCAGGCTCCCCAGGGCTGCCGGAGGAGGGGAGGCCCCCGTCCTGCTGGGGTAACTTTGGGAGGAGTCTCCGCTCTAGGGTTAGGCCACTGTGTGCTGCCGGGGTGGGGTGGGGGGGAGGGCACTCATCCCATTCTCAGCCCCTCTTCAGGGCTCCTGATCCTGATCAACAGGATCCCCCATCCTGGGACTGCTTCCATCTCTGAAGGGGAGGCTTCAGAATGGCGCCTGCCCAGCCCTGCTGCAGTCCCAGGAAAGAAGCCAGGGTGCAGAGGGTGGGCCACGCTCTTGGTGGGAGACCCTGGGCCTGTTCATTTAGGAAGAGAGGCAGGTTTGGGACTGTCTGAGACAGAAACAGCCCAAGGCTTTGTTCAGGCCCCTCCCGGCCCTGAGCCCTCTCGGTTTCTTGGTGACTGTGATTCTGTCACCACCCGGATGGGCTGTTCACCCAGGACAGTGTGGTACGTGGGGGCCCTCGGATCAGCACCCCCAGTCCTCTCCCACGTCCGCCCCTCCCCCCAGCATCTAGCCCTGGAGCATCCAGGCAGGGGTCACTCCTCCTGCAGCAGGGGCTCCCGGTCCCCCTCCTGCACCCTCTCGTCTTCCTCCTTCTCCATGCAGCCCACTGTGGCCGCCAGCCCGGCACCCACACCTCCCCCGACCACGGCTGCCCCCGTGGCCCCCACCGCAGCTCCCGCAGCCACCATCCCAGCCTCTGCGGCCAGCGCCGCTGCGGCCATGCCTGCGCCTACCACGCCCCCCGCCAGACCCATGAGCCCCGCGCCCACTGCGCCGCCAACGGCAGCCAGGTGGCCACAGAAGCGCACGGTGTAGGAGTCCATGAAGGCCTTGGCCTCGGCCTGCAGCTCAGCCTCCAGGGCCTCTAAGGTCTGCTCCCTCCCGGCGCACAGCAAGGTTGCCCCGTGCCGGGCCAGCAGCGTGTCCTTCTGGGCCGACAGGAGGTTCCGCATGGTGTCTGGCAGTACCCGAAGCGCAGAGAAAATGCGCTTGGTGGCTGCGTCCTGTGATGGAGGAAGAAGGGGCCTGACCCGGAGCCAAGTACCTCCCACCAGACCCCCGCCTGGGCTCCTCATGCCCAATGCCCGGCTCCTCTCCTGCAGGACGCCCAGGCTCCCAGCAGGCCAGGCTCACCTGCTGCCGCACATACTCCTCAAACTCCTTCTTGGCAGCTTCCACTGTCCGCAGGTCATGCAGCTGGGCGGCCATCTGTCCAGGGGGAAAACCCAACTGCCTCCCTCCTTCGCCCCTGTCCCCTGCTGGTTGCCCGGCTCCAGCCAGAGGGGTCTGGCCCACCTCCCCCACCCTCATGTCCTCCCCTCAGCCCCGTACCTCATCCGGGGAGGTGCAGCTGGGGCCCGTCCTGCCCATCCAGCCCGAGAGGTTCTGTAGAGACAGCGGTGGGGGGTCACGGGGTGCAGGGGCAGTGGGTGTCTGGGGCTCCAGGGGGCTTTCACACCTTGACCTCCTGAGCCAGCTGCTGCCCTGTGAGCAGGCGTCGGTCCCCCCGGGCCGCGGGGCGCCCCTCGCTCCAGTAGCCCGGGCAGCGGCTCTTGGCGTGCTGGGGGGCCGCGCTCAGCACGTCAGCCACGTAGGCACGCAGGCGGCCAGCATCATCATCTGTGTCTGAGGAAGAGATCCCTCATGCAGAGGAGCCCGGAGCAGGACCGGCTTTAGGAGGAGAGAGGGTATCAGGCCAGGCACCCGGAGGAGGGCAGGCCGGGGAGTCCCTGCTCCAGGGACACTCACCGCCTGAGCTTCCATGGCCTCGGCTCGCCCACCGCCGCCCAGGAGCTGGAAGGAGGTAGCAGCGGGCTCTCCTCCCTTGGAGCAGCCCCTGGACCTTGGGGTACTTGCCGGACGATTTCTAAAGGAGGGGGAGCACTCTGAGCTAGCTCCCCATACCTGCCCCATCTGCCCGGCCCTCTGTCCCCTCCCTCACCTGGATGATGTCGCCCATGTGACCCTGCCAAGCCTTGCTGGTGTGGGAGGAGTCACGAACTAAGAGGTCCAGGTGCTGGAAGAGAAGGGGTGCTGACAGCAGCAGCTGGGGCATCAGGGCCTGGGCTCGAAGTCCAGAGATGGGCTCTCACCTGGATTGGCACCATGCCATAGTGTCTGCCCATCACCTCGGCCACGTGGACAAATGTCTGGGGACAGGGCACAGGGGTCACGACTGGACCACTCCAAGGATGTGCCTCTCAGCCCCCGGAGGACACCATCCCAACTCCCAGCCCTGGACCCTCCAGCCTCTCCTCAGCCCCCAGCCCACAGCCCTGCTCCAGATTCACGAAACCCTGGGGCAGAGTCGGGCAGGACTCAATTCTGGTTGCCCAGTCCCCTGCCTCACGGTCAACACAGGGACAGAGTGCAGCCCCAGGCCAGCCATCCCCTCACCTCCAGGTGCTCCAGGTCTGTGTCCTTCAGCTCCTGGGAAGCCGTGAGGATCTGCAACCAAGGAGAACAAGGTGCAGGAGGGGCTGTGACGACAAGTAGATGCTGGGAGGACCCGGGCAAGGAAAGACCCTCAGGTGGACTGTGGGGCTCAGGATGTGGGAGGGATCAGCCAGGGGGGAACCCCTTGCACCCTGCAGTGGGGCAGGACTGGCCTGACCTGGGTGGGGTGGAGGGCAGGCCGGGGAATGGTCCACAGACCTTCAGCCTCCCCAGGGGCCTTCAACCAAACTTTAGGACAAACCACATTCCCGCCTTCCCTGAGGTCACCCCCTCCTAGGGGAGCCTCCAGAACCTGCTCTGGGGCCAAGGTGACCTTCCTTGGTGGGACCGGGCTGGGCTGAGATGGCCCTGGGAAGGTGGAGAGAGCCTTGAGGAGCTGGCAGGGCCTCACCTGGTAAGAGCTCAGCATGGAGGTGAGGGCGCACAGCCGGGTCCTCGTTTCCCTGCTCAGCTCTGGGCTCATGACGTCCCCCGTGTCCACCAGGAACACGGCCACCTGTGTGGAGAGCCAGCCATGGGTCAGCCTGCCAGGTGCCTCCCCGACTGTGCCCCTTCCCACCCTGCCTTCTCATCCTGGCCCCCAAAGTTTTCCTGCCCACCACCCTCTCTGCTGCCCGCCCCCCCACACTGCCCGAGTAAGCCTGGATCCCTCTGTCCCTTCCCCCCTCACCTTCCTCCCCTCCTTCCCCAGCAGGAAGGGGTGGCTCCACATCCAGATGCCCCTGGAGAGGCCGTTGGTTCCCCACCGGAACCCCTGCCCGGAGCCCCCGCCCCTCGGCCAGCCGCCCTCGCCGGACGCCTGAGGGGCAGAGAAGCAGAGCAGCTTTGGACCATCCGGCCCTTCTCCCTTTGCCAAGCCCGGCTGGGACCCTGGTCCTGTCCCCCAGTCCCCGCCCGGCCCCGCGCTCACCAGGCCGGGCAGGCCCTGGAGCAGGTGGTTGAGGAGGAAGGTCTTCCCTGAGTGTGGCCCCCCCAGGACGGCGAGGAGGCAGACGGGGGTGTCCCTGGCCAGCGGGTGCTTCAGGCAGCGGTTGATGGCGCCCATCCGCAGGATGAGACCCCCCGAGGCGTTGATCCGCACCAGCAGCAGCGGCTCGGCCCGCACGGCGCAGGTCTCCTGGGCCCAGAGATGGGGCTCCCTGAGCACCAGGCTGGAGCCTGTCCGCCCCAAACTCCACTCCCTCAGTCGCCCCGCCCCCAAACCCCACCCCTCAATCGCCCCGCCCCCTCCGTCCTCCCGGCCCAGGCCGGCTAGCACACCTCCATCGCCCCGCCCCCTCCTCCGCCCCGCCCCCTCCGTCCAGGTCCAGACCGGCACCTGCAGCGCGGCGGCGGGCAGCGGCCTCTGCGGCAGGAGCCTCATCCTCTCCCCCAGGCCCCGCAGGCCCTTCCTCCGCTTGCAGGTCTTGCGGCACTCGGGGCAGCAGGGCGGCCCGCAGCCAGGCACACGGTGGGTGCTGAAGCACCGCGGGCAGAAGTCGTGGCCACAGTCCAGCGAGATGGGCTCACGTGGCCTCTCCAGGCAGATGGAGCAGGCGGGCGGCTCGCGGGGCGCCGTGGGCCGGGACCCCAGCCCCAGCTCCAGCTTGGGGAACGGCGTGTGGGACCTGGGGGCGGCGGGGGGGTGCGGGGACCCCAGACAGTGGTGAGAGGGGCCCCCGAAACAAGGAACCCTGGATGGAGCTGTCGCGGGTAAGTTCCCGCCCGGGTCTGGCCTGTTTCTAACCCTCCAGGAAGGGAGGCAGGGGCGGGCAGACAAGATGGTGCCGGTGTCCGGTATAGATGCCACGGAAATCCACCCCCACGGCCTCCTGCTTCGAGGGGAGGGGTCCCTCCAGGGGTCACCTACCCCTATCCCCTCCCTGCAGTGGCTTCAACACTCTGGGCCTGCGGACATAAGGGGGCTCCCGCGGCGGAGCAGATGGCTCTCGGAAGATTCCAGCGCTGAGCTGGCACCGGCTTCCTGAGGCACCCACCTGATTTCCCATCCTTCCCTCCACAGCCCAGTGGAGCTAGCCTGGTGTTACCTCCCCTGGGACAGGCCTCTGTGCTCCCAGCCAGCCCACCCACATGGCCCCCACCCGCCGCCAGGCCCTCCACTTACCAACTGTTGCTGCTGTTCCCCATGAAGCTCCGTTTTCTCTCCTTGGAGAAAATTGGGGAGAGAAAACCCCAAAAATGTGATTTAGAAGAGAATCCAGAGTTCCATCTTCATCTTGGGTTTTAGGTGCCCCCATCCCCCCTCTGGAGACCCATCCCCCGCAAGGGGGCCCCTTCCCAGCACCCTCCGCCCCCCGACTTCCTCCCCAGATCTCAGGACCAAGACCTTGCCTGTTTGCCAAGCCGGTGACAAAAGGAAATGACTGACAAGGCAGACCTCGGCATGGGAGGCTGGCGGGGGCAAGGGTCCTGGAGCAGAGAACAGGCCCTAGAGACCTTGCCAGCACTGAGGATGGCTCTTCTGGAAGCACTGGTGGGGCTGTGGCAGGTGGAGGCTGGTGGGGGGTAGGGTGGTCTCCCCGGAGGAGACGACTGGGCAGGGCTGGGAAATGGATGTGACAGTCGGGAAAGAGGAGGCTGCCTCTGGACTCACCCCAGGGGGAGGAGACAGGACTGCGGGAACCAGGGCTCCGGAGGAGGGAGGGACGAGACAAGCCGAGCCGAGCTCAGAATCTCTGGCAGAGGCTGGGATGAAGGCGAGCGAGGTGGTGAGTCGCCATGGAGACGAGGGAAAGATAAGGACAGGGCGGGGGAGGGTGGAGGGAGAGCGAAACCATATGGGTGTGCGGCAGACACGGAACTAGGCTGGCACTGCCCGTGCTGGCCCAGCGGGGCTCTTCCAGGGCCGCGGGCTGGGGGTACAGAAGACAGAAGTGTGGGAACCAGGAAAGCACGTGGTGGGCTCTGACCCAGAGTCCCAGATAGTCTCTTTCCTCCTATGGACGGTCGTGGTGCTGGACATCTGCTGGGGCCCATGATGCTACCCACAACATGTGGCCTACAAGACCCTCCCCCACGGCAGTCCCTCCCCCAGGGTCATCCCTCCGCTAGGGTCGTCCCACCTATGCCTTCCTCAGCCCCCTGGGCTGCTCTGACATTGGCTCTTTGTCACATGGTGTCTTCCTCTCCCACTGAGTTATCCCTGGACCCTCTAGCTGCCTACTGACTGGGCCCCTCCCACTCACCCTGCAGTGCACAGCCAGCCCAGACCCCTGAGCACAGCTGACCCCTGGGCTGCTCAAACACCTGCCACAGCTCTGGCTCCGTAGGACCATTAGACTGGAATCCAAAGTTCCTGGCCTGTACCCAAGGGCCTGAACCTCCCTGAGCAGCCCTCCCTCCTCCACCTCCGACCTCCACCCAGTGTTCCCTGGGCCTGTAGTGGGCCCCTCCCTCCAGAGACACTTGTGTGGATGTGTGCTAAGTCACTTCAGTTGTGTCCGACTCTTCGTGACCCCATGGACCATGGCCCACCAGGCTCCTCTGTCCATGGGATTCTCCAGGCAAGGATGCTGGAGTGGGTTGTGTGCCGTCCTCTAAGGGATCTTCTCAACCTAGGGATTGAATCCAGACCTCTGGGGCACCCAGCAAAGGCAGGGCACTTGGATCTGCATTCCTGGGGAGGTTGGGGGTGGGAGGACAACGTTTCTCATAGGGAGAGTGAGAGGTGGAGAAGAGGCTGGGAGCGGGGTGTGCAGGACCCTGCGCAGCCTCTTCCCTCAGTCCCTGTCCCCGGGCCCTCTCTGGCCCAGGAGGCCATTATCTAGCCAGCAGCCTCTGGGTACTGTCCAGTGGGTGAGCCCAGACTCAGCTGCATTTGAGGCTGGGACCCTCCCCAGCCCTGAGGGACAGCAGGATGTGCTGAGTACCCCGCCTCCAGGGCCACCAGTCCCTTCCCATCAAGGTGGCCCCCGCCCTGCCCTAAGATGACCTCTGGGACTGAAAGGCCCCCTCCACATCCCCCCTACCTCCGACCATTGGTTACATATGGTTTCCACTTCTGTGTTCAGAGCTGGTGGGGGGCAGTCAGTGGCAGAGGTGGCGAGGCCAGCGCCGAGCTCTATGCTAGAGAGGACAGGCCCACTGGCTGCCCATGACCCTGAACCTGACCCTGGCTCTACCCCTCCTGGCAGCTGCCAGGGAGGAAAGTCCAGTTTAACTCCCCAGCCTCCAGTCAAAGGCTTTCAGGCAGGAAATTCACTCCTAGCTTCCTGAAATAATGTCATAGCAGAAAAATCATCCCACACCTGCTTAGCAATTTAGGGTCATGCCATGTCACCAAGAGCTGCCTCCCCCAGCCCCCACAGCACAGAGGCCCTGGTGTCTAAACAGGGAACCCAAGGCTGAGCGAGCAGGATGATCATGCAGTGCAGGCCCAGAGGGCAGCCTCAGCCCCCCAACCCCAGGCCTGTGCTGGCCATCGCCGCCTCCCCCCAACCCATGCTGGGGGCTTTACACAGAGAGCCCCCATAAACCACCCTCCAGCCCAGGCCCAGACACCCTCAGAGAGCTTCCCCGTCTCTCCTTTCCCTTATTCTCAGATCTTTAGAAAGTGCCTCTTCTGTACCAATCATGGAGTTGGCTGCCAGGGCTACAAGAGACAGATGGGGTCCTTACCCAGGGGAGCTCAAAGGCTGTGTTCAAACACAGAACAGGCCTCCACCCTGAGCACGGACATTGAAACCCAGGAGACTGTGGGACTGGGGAAGCCCTGCAGCCAGACTTGCAGCTGCTGAGGCTCAGTCTTGTGGGATGGGTGGACATTAACCCCTCTCTGTGAAAGGCGCTGGATGTTGCAGGCACGGGGAGCAGCCTGTGTCAAGGCCGGGATGGGGCAGTGCAGGGGAGTGTGGTCTGCAGAGCACAAACCTAGGGAGGACACCAGGCAGCTTTTAGACTTTCCTGACATGACGATGGGAACCTAAAGGAGTTGAAGCAGGAGGCATGTGACGAGATCTGCATCCCTGAACCCACGCAGAGAGACTACAGGAGACCTGGCAGCTTAACCAGGCCTGAGACCTGTGCCCTAGGGACTGTGTCCAGAGTGCCTCCAAATTTTGCTACAGCAGGCAGTGTTGTGCCAGGGGCTTCTGCCCTGACACCACCACCCACCTGGTGGGGATCTTCACCTGCACAGAGCTCAACTCACACGCTGATCTTTGCCGACTTCAGCTACAAACAATGAAGGGTGGTCCCAGGTATGTCTGACTTGCTCTGGAGTTTTGAGGTTAACAGTCTGCCATGTCACCAAAAACAAACTTTTTTTTCTAATTAAAGGGGGAGATTAAAGCATCCTAAGTGTCCAGTCACAGATAAATAAATAGTTGATGATTTAAAACTAGATGCTTTAGCTGCAGGGTGGCATGGGCAGAGCTGTTGTTGATGCTAGGCACCCAGGGGTCTGTTTTGGACTGAGCCCATTTCCAACTAGAATCCCATCTGTTCTTGCTTCTTTCCAACAATGGACACAGGTGGTCCCTGCTGTGTGCCAGCAGCCAGGCAGCCTACCGGAAAGGCCCTGGTGGTCAAGCTGAGCACACTAGGCTCCGTCCCCTGAAACAAAGGGCATGAGGACAAGAGTGGAGATTTTGTGGGGCACCTGGAAACTGCTGGGCAGTGGTGTGGTCAGTCAGAAAGGGGGCTCAGCGGCCAATCTAGAGGGGGTGAGAGAGGGCAGGGGGCCATGGACACTGGAGCCACCTCTTAACTCTCACAGCCCTGCTCTGTGGTCAAGGAAGTGGAGATTCAGAGTCACATGACCTCCTCACAGAGGCTTGGGGTGGCCCGCCTGGGGGTCAGGAAGGGGTAGAGAAGGCACAGTCCCAGCATGGCAGACAGGAAGGGGGGCTGCAGGGGCAAGACGCCCAGGCTGGGACACTGACTGACTGCTGTGGGGATAGGAAGAGACAGTGGTGACACTCAAAGGCCCCCTGAGGTTCACACTGGCTAGCGGGGGGCCAGCAGCAACCGAGGAACCTGTGCCATCATGCACCAACTTCCCTGAATCCGAGCCCATGCCCAGCTCCAGGTCCCTCCCCTGAAATCCCCCATTTGGACTCCTAGCCGCCCACCAGGTCTGGAGCATCCAGGCAGTCGGCCAGGATGCTGAGGATGCAGCCAGCTGGCCCCGAGGAACAGACTCCCCGCCACAGTCTCCGCCCAGCAAGGCCCGGCCCCCCAGACCCCTCCGAGGTGAAAGGCAGCAGCTCGCAGCTGGACAGCCAGCCAGCCAGGCTGATTGGGGCCGGGTCCCCTGCAGGCTCAGCCTCTGCATCCAGACCTCCACCGGCCATCTGGTGGCCAAGGCCACCCCCAGATGGACCGGACCAGCTGGAAGGCCCTAGCAGCACCCAGGCCTTGGTTCAAATGCCAACCCTGCCCAGCTTGCCAGCCTGGTCACTCCCCTCCCTGCAGCTCAGCTTCCTAACAGTAAAGCTAAAGCTAACTATCTCCCCCCCTGCCGGGTTATTGCCAGAGCCTGGTGTGCAGCTGGTGCTCAATAAATGCCAGCTGGGCTCACCTCACCTCACCATGTTTACCCCCTGTTCTCCCCACTGTTTACCCCCGCCTGGTCTCTCAGCCCCCTCCCCGTCCAGGGGGGCTGACCCCTCCTCTTGTCAAATAAGAGTCCTAGAGGTTCCTACAGAGGCAGGACCTGAGGGCATGAAGACTATGCCCCGCAGACAGAGTCCTGTTTCAGCTAGTTTGTTACTCTAATGAGATGGTCATGGGCATTTACTTGCTCCTATGGTAGGCTGCCATCCCATGGATGGCATCACCGATTCAATGGACATGAGTTTGAGCAAGCTCCAGGAACTGGTGATGGACAGGGAAGCCTGGTGTGCTGCAGTACATGGGGTCGCAAAGAGTTGGACACAACTGAGTGACTGAACTGAACTGAAGGTAGGCTGAGTCCTTTCAACGATAGAAACTCAGTTCTCCCAGATTTCCTCCAAAGGTGGAATCACGGCTCCATTTTATAGATGAGGAAACTGAGGCTCTGCAGATGCTCACAGCCACGGCTGCCTCCTGCTAACCTCACTCCCTCACACACACACACATACACATAACATAGACACACACATGTACACACACACACACACACACACACACACTTCTTCCTCTCTCAGCCCCTCCCCACCCTGTAGCCTAGACCTGGGGAGAGCAGAGCAGCCATAACAGCCAGGTGCTCAGCAATCCACCACACAGCCTGTTTGTTGATGAAATCAAGTGTGGAGTGAGGTTAGGTAACAGGAAGTGACCAGCTGACCCCAGAGGTCAGGGAGGATGGTGTCCAAATGCTGGAATCTGCTTCTGCTTTCTGATGATGAATCTGGCAGCAGGAAGAGCAGGAGCCCCACCCCGATCGGAGCAGCTGGTCCCCGAGGACGTCCCGGGGCCAGAGGCAGGGAGGCGGTCAGCTGAGAGGCCTGAGAAGGCTGGGGAGTCATCCCCAGGGCCCAGGCCAGCCCTGCCCATCCGCAGCGGCCACCAGGAACAGATTGCGGGCTGACAGGCCCTGCCCCACCCGCTCCACCAGTATCATGCATATGTGCTAAGTCACTTTAGCGTGTGTCTGACTTTTTGCAACCCCATGGACTGCAGTCCACCAGGCTCCTCTGTCCATGGGATTCTCCAGGCAAGAACACCAGAGAGGGTTGCCACTTCCCTCTCCAGGGATCTTACTGACCCAGGGATCAAACCCGCATCTCTTATGTCTCTTTCATTAGCAGGCAGGTTCTTTACCACTAGCCCCACCTGGGAAGCCCTACGCCCTGCCAGCCCGAATGTAAATCAAAACAAGTCCTTCGGGAACAAGGGATCCCACTGGGCCTCTGGGGTGCTTCATCAGGTGGCCAGGGGCTCACGTCCATGGAGATGGGCCCACGGTGCTCCACGTAAGTCACACCGCATCACAGTCTTGTTGAGCAACTCCCACTCACAGGGAGATGGAGCAGGGTTGCCTTGTCCCATTCCTGTGTGAAGTACGATGAAACGCTCGGACACCGGGCAGAGAACAAGACAAGACTCTAAAGGAGAGAGAAGGGGAGGGCCGAGGGGCTAGGGCCTCAGGACCTGAAGAGCCACACAGAGGCGGGTGCCTGGATTCTCCTTCTGCCTCACTGTCCTGGACCTGATGCTGGACAAGGGGCAGCCCAGAAAGGCCAACAGGCAGACAAAAAAAAGTCCCAATAAACTCTCCGTACCCCCACTCTAGCTGAGGAATCAGGAGAGGGACAGCCTTGCAAGATGGGAAACTTTTAGACAATAAACACTCCAGCCAAATACCACGAAGAGATACAGCCCCAGCCTAGCCACCCCAGCAGACACCAGTGGGGACTAGATGCCCCCTCACCTGGCCATGTCAGAGGAGGCCACAGAGGGAGCCTGGACACGCATTCTCCTGACCCCAAAGCACTGTGGAGGCCACCTGGGGAGTCAGAACCCTGAGCCTGTCTGGTGGTCACAACCCCTCCTGGGGCACTGGTGGGGGTGGCAGAGTAAGGAGCCTGGAAGCCCACCTGCATCAGCATCCTGAAGCTGCACCCCATCCCTTGCTGGAGGGGCGTCAGAGAAAGCACGAGACGGGCTGACAGGATCCAGTGTCTCAGGGCATCATGTGATGAGGTGTCCCACCGTCCAGGATTCAGCACCAAGTGACCATCAATGGGCCAGAGGGTGGACCCTGCAATCCTGGAAACGTCCTGCCCACTTACCACATCCATGTTATCATCTGGGTTGTGATGTTGAGGGACAAACCTACAATGTGTGCCCACTGGGGAAACGGAACAATGTATACCCACTGGGGAAACGGGATGAGGTACCAGGGCTTGGAATCTCCTCTGTGGTCCAGTGGCTGAGACTCTGCGCTCCCAGTGCAGGGGGCCGGGTTCCATCCCTTGTCAGGGAATCATATCCCACATGCTGCAACTAAAGATTCCATGTGCCTCAACTAAAAACAAGGTCCCAAATTCCACAACCAAGAGTTCACAGGTCACCATGAGAAAAGATCCCGACACTGCAAGGATGAGGCAAGACTCTGCATGCTGCAACTAAGACCAGACACAGCCAAAAAAAGCGGGGGCGGGGGGGTATTCCTGGGCACTCTCTGTATCAGTTTATACAACTGCATGGAAACCTACCATGACCTCAAGACACAAAGTCTAGTTACAAATAAAATAACAATCTAGAAGAAGGTTGTCCCTTCCTGCTTAAAATGGGATGCCGGCTTGCTGTTGCCTGTAGGACAGCCTGACACTCCCTCCCCACGAGGCCTGCCCATCTCAAGTCCCCCCCCAGCTCCCCAGCCCTCCCCTCCTCCAGCTCAGGGCCTCCTTGACTGCTTCTCACCTGAAGCATGCATGACCCAGAGAGGCCCCTGGGCCCCACTGCACTCGTGCCACTGTCCAGCCTCTGTGTTCAGTCTTGAGAAGCCGCAGTCACAGGCTCTGCAAACTCCATCCCACTCCCTGGAAAAGCAAGGCGCACAGAGTACAGATAAAACACTACTGTGAAAACACTTTCCATCACTCAGATCCCTGGAAGGGCCCCAGACACCCACAGGGGACCCCAGATGACACTCTGAGAAGCACTACATAGAACTATTTAAAAAAAAAAAACTTTTGTATTGAGCAGAACACCAGATGCTTAAGAATATGTATTGAATTATTCCATTTATAGGAGGTTCAGGAACCACTGCAGGCAAAACCACTGCAAGTCGAGAGCAGTGACAATGGTGTCTCCCTCGAGCTGCGGAGTGGGAGACACAGATGTGATCTTCTGGGCTGGAAACCTTCTGTCTCTTGACCTGAAAGTAGTGACAAAATGGTTCACCCAGTACAAGCTGCACCCCTGCCCACACCATTGCTGACCTTGACAAAAGGAAAACCATTAACATCACTCTCTTCCACCTTAGACTTGGCTTCAGTTTCACTAGAACTGCCAGGACATGCCCCCCATCAGTTCAAAATGATTGGAGGCCACCGGTGGGGGCCCCAGCCTCCAAGGGCTCGCCTGCTCTCCATAAGAGCCGAGATCACCCTGCTGCAGCCAGGGCAGACCCCAGAGTTCACAGGATACCCACTGGTAAGGCCACTGTTGTATCAGGGAGACCCAGTTCCCTGGGGGACCAGCAGGACTGGGGGACACAGCTCTTCCCCACCCCCAGTCTTGCTTGCTTCCACCAGGTCTGGACATGTTTGGCCAGGGACTTTTCTCCCCGCAGTGAGTGTCTTTTGACTCAGGACCAGCTCTCTTTGCAGGAAAAAGAACGGGCTCTTAGTTCTGCCTCGGGCAGGAAGGAGACTTGGAGTAACCACGGGGAGACAATTAGGCACGGGCCTTGGCATTCTCCACGGCCCTCCCTTCCCACTGTTTACAATTGCACAAGCCAAAGTCCGTCCTGTGTCTGCGAGGCCCCAAAGGACCCTGCCCCGCCTCCTCTGAGCCTCTCCTGTGTCCTCGCTTGTCCTTTCTGCCTGGCCAGTCAGCTGGCGCCCCAGGCCTCAAATGCAAAGGTGCCTCCTACCCCAGGGCCTTTGCACATGTCACTCCACTGCTCAGACCTCTACTGGAATGTCTGCAC